TGCAGAACAGCTGTGGAGGTGCAGAACAGCTGGGGAGATATAGAACAGCTGTGGAGGTGCAGAACAGCTGGACAGAGACAGAACAGCTGGGCAGGTACAAAGCAGCTGGGCAGATACAGAGCAGCTGGGGAGGTTCAGAACAGCTGGAGTACAGAAAAGCCAGGGGTGCAGAAAGGTTGGGGTGCAGCACACGTTGGTGCGCAGGGCAGCTGCCGGGCTGCAGAACACTTGGGAGGGTGACGGAACAGCCGAGGGGGTGGAACAATGCAGACGCAGCACAGCTGTGGGCGCGCAGCATTCCTGGGGGTGCAGAGTTGTTGTGGGGTGTCATCACATGGATCAGGGCTGGGGAGGCTGGGGCACAGCCCTGTTAGGAGGCAGGACAACTGGGGTGGCCAGCACCTCAGGGGGCTCCAGTACCTAATGTGACAAGTAAGCCCAAAGACTGCTCCTGAGGCAGACGTCTGCCCCAGCTGCTGCAAACAGGGAGCCCTATGAGGTGGAGAGGGCTAGGACCAAGCTGCCTACCTAATTCAACCAGAAACCATCTGCTGGACACCCCTGTTTCCTCATGGACAAGATGAGGATGCCGCCTGAGCCATGCTAGCAGCCTGCGTCTCCATGGCTGCAGGAGCTTTGCCACCCGACACTCACAGAGGCTGCATGGCCCCTCTTGGTCCTAGGCCCCAGCATGCACCATTGGAGGAACTCACCACAGGCAGGGCTCTTCAGAGGTGTAAGGGTTGGGGTCGATGGCAGGTCTGCAGAGCCGGAGGGTCCACTGTCCTCATTTTGCAGCCACGTAGGATTCAGAAGTGTTTCCCAGGTAGGATGGGTGGCATGCCACATGACGTGGCCAGTGGGGTCCTTGGTAGGGGAAGGCCAGGAGGATGGCTTCATGGTGGAGTTTCTCAACAACTGTTCAGGGAGGGCCAGTGGGCCATCTGTGGCCCCAGGAGGGAAGCTGTGGGTTGACCCAGGAGCCTTGGGGGAGGAGGTGGTGCCTATCACCCTGACAGTGTTCCTGTGGCCGGGGCTCCCCTGGCTGGTGCTCCCCTGGCTGGTGCTCGCCTGGCTGGGACTCGCCTGGCTGGGGCTCCCCTGGCTGGTGCTCGCCTGGCTGGTGCTCCCCCGGCTGGTGCTCCCCTGGCTGGTGCTATCCTGGCTGGTGCTATCCTGGCTAGGGTTTGCCTGGCTGGGGCTCGCCTGGCTGGTGCTCGCCTGGCTGGTGCTCGCCTGGCTGGTGCTCCCCCGGCTGGTGCTACCCTGGCTGGTGCTATCCTGGCTAGGGTTTGCCTGGCTGCGGCTCCCCTGGCTGGGGCTCCCCTGGCTGGAGTTTGCCTGGTTCCCCTGGTCCATCCCCAAACCTGGGGCAGTGCTGGGCACCTCCTGCTCCACGCCTTTTCCTGTGTTGTTCCTGTCATACCCAACGACACAGCTGCCCCCTCTCCTGGGTGGGGGCCCTGGGGTCCAGGCCTGGCCTGCTGTCGGGGTGCCTTGAAGGTGCCCAGGGCTGGGTGACAAGGTGAAGTTCTCTAAGCCGAGGGCTGTTATTCCCGTGCCAAGAGCTGGGACCATGACCCCTGTTGCCGCAGACAGCCCACCGCCCGTGGGGCTCACCAGGTCACCTGCCAAGACACATCCACTGTCAGAGCCTGCCGGATCCCACCCACATCCAGCAGGACAGTTCTGCATCACACGTGGACCTGGGCAAGGGAGGCAGACGGGCTCAGCCGGCGTTCAGGAATGTCTCACTGGCCAGTGTTTACAGAATCCCTGGGGCTCCCTGAAGGCAAGTCACACATTTCCGCTGGATAAATGCGGAAACTGAAGCTGAGGGTGAGGGATCTACCTGGCAAGGAGCTACACAAGCCCGACTTGAATGCAGGGCTTGGTTCTCACAAGCCTCAGATTAATCCATCAGGACTTTGGGAAAATGGGACAACTTCCCCCAGATTTGTGCTCAGTGTGGGACTTGGTGCTGCCATCGGCTTGCAGGACATTAGACAAATAAGAAACACAGGGGGAAGTCAAGCGTGGGATGTTAGGAAGCGGTCAGCACACGCAGAGGCTGAGGAATATTCTCCCAGGGAACAGGTCTCGGCCTGTTCCAGCTAGACGGGCCTCCTCAGGGGCTGGCAAGCCGGTGTCTGGGTGCCTCTGCCACGCCCGTGTCTGGGCGGACATTGCTAATCAGTCACTGCATTTTAGGTCTGCGTGTGGCCTCCTCCTGCTGCTCAACTCAGCACACAGGTATCCCCAACCCACCCATCAGAACTGGCCCACAGAAAAGACGTGGGGCTGATACAGCAGGTCTAGCTCAGGGGCCCCCCTCGTGACTTCTGTGGGCCCAAGGAACTTGGCCTTCATGGACCCCTGTGCCCCTCCACTTAAAAATCTATCAAAAATTGCACTTTATAATGGCATTTGGATAGAGATAAGTGTCATCCAGGCTGGATTCATTGTTTTATGTATATTAACTATCTTTCTATTAATTTCTCTTCTGGTTTTAAAAGTTGAAATGAAACATTTCTGTGAGCCCCTAACATTACCATAGGTCCTGAGCACTGCGTCTGATGGAGAATTGGACCTTGTCTCACCCCCAGATCCTCAAGCAGTGGGCCTTCCCAGAGTTGACGAGGTAGGGGGGGAATACACACCCTCACAGACCCGGCCCGCGCGGGAGGGCATGGCGTCCCTGGCTGTGCGGCACTGGCAGGTGTATGAGCCCTCCAGATTGATGCACCAGGCAGCCGGTGAGCAATCATGCTCCGTGCTGTCCACACACTCGTCCCAGTCTGCCGGGGGAGACACAAGACAAGATCCAGGAGAAAATGGCCAGAGTGATCAGAAGCCAGACCCACACTGGAAGGAGTTCTTCCTGTCCATCTTTGCAGTGAATGGCTGGAGCGGGGGCACTTTTGGGGCAGAGGTGGGGCATCCGTCCAACACCCTCGTGACAGCTTCTGGCCTGCCTGTGCCTACCTTCACATTGGTTGGCTAATTTGGGGGCAAAGATTAGGAAATGTTGGTTCCTTTGGGTGATGTTAGCACCCAGAGGTGGGCATCTATCCCTCTCTTATTTATTCTGTTTCCACACCCAAAAAGTTGAACTGCTTTCTCCTCTCTGTAATGTGCCCACATTCTCCAATACTTAGTGTCTCAACCAAGAAACAGAAAAATGACTGAGCCGGGGAGGGGGGTCCACCTGAGTCTAACATGAACTTGCCTCGCCATTTTATACCACTCAGGTGTCTCAATGGGTGTGCACTTCCTCCTGTGCCCCAAAGACATGGGAAGTCATGTCACTGGGGGGCCTGCCTGGGGGAAGGTTGGCAGGGACAAGGACAATGCAGTTCCCATGGGGGTGACTGAGCTGAGGTCATCGGGGCGGGCCCTGCTAGATGGTGACAGTGCCTTCTGTGCTTCTGCAAAGCTGCAGGTGGAGGTGACCAGGAACCAACCCATGCCCAGAGTGCCAGGGAAGCTCCAACTCAGTTGGAATTTAAGCCATGAAGCGGGACCAGTTCAGTTGCGTGCAAAGAACACCCTGCCACTGAGTGCTCAGAGGCGGGTTTCATGGTTTTCCTGTTGTGCTGCTTTCTGTCTCCACAGAAGCAGCTTCCCTGGAGAACAACACAACAGCTGCCACAACAGCTGTGCCACCACGCTGGCATGGCCCAGAGGCTGCCTTGCCATCAGAACACCACTGGTGCCAGCCCACACCTCTTCCTGGGGTGCTACTCAACCTCCAGCCTACAGGTACCTCTCCTGGGGTGCTCCGGGTTGGGGCTGGAGCGTGGGCTGGCTGGGCTGCAGTCCACAGAGGACAGCAGAGGCACCAGGCAAAACACTGGCTCAAGCCACCAAGCACCTGGTGTCTATTTTGGTGCATGGTGATTCACCTAGCCTTCACTCCCCCGTCCCCTCAGACAGCTCCCAAGCAAGCTCAGAGGAAGATGCTGACTGCTGTATTTAGCCTTGCATTAAGCCTTGAGGCTTGCCGGCCCTGCAGTTCAGAAGAAGAGGCAGGTGTGGGAGCAGAAGAGCTGCCGGTGAGCCTCTGCACCCTCCCGGGCTGGCCAGGCGTGGGCACAGAGGGGGCAGGAGCCCAGGACAGGATGCTGCACGCTCCTCCCACTGGCCCTTCAGCTGGGACAAGGGCTGAGCCCTCTCCTGGAGTGGTGGGGGCAGCTGCTCCAGAGGCTCCCAGCCCAGGTGCCTCTCCTGAGCTGGCCCCACCCAGAACAACAAGCTGGAGAGGGTCTGGGGGCAGGTACAGACCCTGGCCCCCCGGGCCACCCTGTCCCAGCAAGGCGTAGGCTCCTCAGTAGGACCATGAGCTGTCATTCAGGGCCCGGGGTGTTCTCTAGAAGTGATGCCGCTCAGACTGTCCTGGGGCCATGTGTCAGATTCACACTGGGAGAAAGAGGGCACAGAGCACCTGGGCCTAATGCCACTGCGAATGGACGCTGGACAAACCGCAGTGCTCTCGAGCCTAAGGAAAGGAAGCAGTCTGCAGTAGGTGAGCCTGGCCAGCAGGCAAGGGGGACAGACAGCTCCAGGCCAGGACCCTCGTTCACGGCCCTTCTCCCACTCTGCAGAGGGGCTGGAAAGGCCTGGCACAGGGGCGAGGCCGGTGGGAGCAGGTGGCCAACTGGAAGCTTTGGGGAGCTCAGCTCAACCTGCTCTGACTGGCCCCAGGAGAAGCGGTGTTATTCCAGGGCCCCAGAAGACCCACACGGCCTCTCATGCAGAAGAATGCCAGCGGGGGTCCCGCTCCTCTGGCCGAGGTCGGTGCAGAGGGCTCACAGCGGTGCCCCGTAGAAGCCCAGTGATGGCCCTCACTCTAGGACAAACAGGCGCGGTATGAGCATCTCTCCTGAGAATGGGGAAGAGGAGGAGCAGGGGCCGTGCTGTTAGGAGCAAGAGATTGAATAGGAGTGATGTGAGGGGCAGAGAGAGGAGCCCCGAGAGGAGGAAGGACCAGTGGGAACCCAAGGGAGATGCTAGGGGACCTTCCTAGGTGAGCTGTCAGCCAAGATATGAAAGCTAATCCTGGAAGAGAGTTACCGTGAACGCTGGAGGAACATCAGAAATGCCCTGTGGCCATGCACAGGCGCTGGGCCAAACCCACACAGGCATTGTCCCTTGATTTACCCCCCCACCATAGGAGGGGCATGTTGCTGAGATCTTCTCATTTCACAGAGGAGCATCCTGACCCCCAGAAAGAGGAGGTCATCCGTGCAGCGTCGCATAGTGAGTGTCAGAGCTAGGATTCCAACCCGTTCTGCCGCCTCCTATGAGGCAGTGCGCAGGAGGCCTGGCTGCGCTGTGAGGGGGCGGCTCATAGGCACAGGGGGCGGCTCGGCCTCCATGCCTCCCAGCATGGGACGTACCCTCCTGGGGAAAGACTGGACACATGGCCACCTACACAGTTCACCATGACTGGCTCAGGAAACCCCAGGCCCCAGGACGGATGGCCTAAGGGTAAAGGTAAGGTCATGACAACCTGACCTCTGTACGGGCTGCGGCCCACCTCACCCACGGGCAGTGCACCCTCCTGAATGACTCAAGGAAGCTCCAGTTGTGCCAAGGACAGTGTTTCCATGTGGGCCACAGCGCAAATGCCTTTTCTTCTTCCAAGGAGCTCTTTTTGTGTTTTGGTTTCTTGGTTTTTTTGCAGAGTGGTATCGAATGTCTTCTGCAGGTCCTCGCTGTGAAGGTGGGGCTCACAGGGAGGGGTGGGAATCCCCCTGGAAGCTGGGCTCTAGCCTCACGCTGCCTCCCCAGGTAGGGGCCATGCTCACGGTTGCTCCCCCAGCCCTGGAACCTGAAGACACCAGTGGTAATGGAGCCAAAAGACAGCAGAGGCAGGGCTGTCTCCCCAGCCACGCACAGACCAAGGCGTGACCATTGCTGGCCACACAGCCAACCCCCAGCTCAGGGACTGGCCCGAAGCAGCACCTCAGCTCTGAAAGGAGTAGGAAGCAGCCCAGAGCCTGCAGGGACCCTGCCGGGCAAGAGCCTGCCCAAGGAGCTTAACGCCTTCTGCGGGGCCATGGGAACTGCATGGGGAATGGGTGATGGGAGTACTTAAGACAGAGCATCCAGTCCTCAGGATGCGACATGAGCCTCCTGTGGCTGCCGTCACGAACACCACCAGCTGGGGGGCCTGAAACCACACAGATGATGTACTCCCGCCATTCCAGAAGCCGGAAGTCCAAACTCAAGGTGTCAGCCGGGCTGCCCTCCCTCTGGGCTCCAGCAAAGGGGCTTTCCTGTGCCTCTTCCGGCGTCCTATCTTGTGGCTCCACGAGTCCTCAGCTTGTGACTGCATCACTCCAGTCTTGGCCTCTGCATCTGTGTCTCCACCTCTTGTCTCATAAAAAGACACTTGTCATTGGACTTCAGGCCCACCCCAAATCCAACAGCAGGAGGGCCTCATCTTGACATCCTCACCTTAATCATATTTGCAAAGGCTCTTATTCCAAATAAGGTCACATTCTGAAATTCCACGTGAACATAGCTTTTTGGAGGGGTCACCATTCAACCCATGACATCCCTGCTGTCCAAGCTCTCATTTGGCAGGGTTCCAGCATCGCCTGAGCCCTGGTCCCAGAGGACAGGAGGAGGGAGGCAGGGAGGTATGGAGGACGGGCTGGGCTGAATCCCTCTGAAGGTTGGATCACGGGGTCATATGCTGAGCACCCTGCTGGGGGCATACACTGTGGACCCCACCCTCAGGCCGTACCCTGCAGCCCAGCTAGGTGGGGTCTTACTAGGTACAAGGGCCATTGCAGTATCTTCATCCTTAGGGGTTGCCAAGTGAACAGAGTGACCCCCAGGCTGAGGTTTCCAGGCACGACTTTGAAAAACAGACATCCCCCAACCCACCCCCCCAGTTCTTCCCAGCACCTCCTGGTGGGGGAAGTTTGGGACAGCAAGCAAGCATGTGGCTGAGCTCCAAGACCCAGCACCCCAGGAGACGCCCACTCCACAGATTGAGCCCAAAACTGGAGCTTGTGGATGTAGAGACTGCATATGGCCTCACAGCGAGGAGAGAGCTTTGTGCCTGCTGTGGGATGGCAAAGCCCTGGTCTCCATGCCTCTCTGTCTCTTTCTTTATCTCTCTGTCTTTTCAGCTGTCCTCTGTCCATGACCTCCTGCTCCAAGGCAACACCAAGTAAAATGAAATAACACACAGGGTAATGAAATAGACCCACAGAGGCTGGGCACAGTGGCTCACACCTATAATCCCAGAACTTTGGGAGGCTAAGGCGGGTGGGTCACCTGAGCTGGCCAACATGGTGAGACCATCCTGGCCAACAGGGTGAAACCACATCTCTACTAAAAATACAAAACTTAGCCAGGCATGGTGGTGGTCGCCTGCAATTCTAGCTACTTGGGAGGCTGAGGCAGGAGAATCACTTGAACCTAAGAGGTGGAGGTTGCAGTGAGCTGAGATCATGCCATTGCATTCCAGCCTGGGTAACAAGAGCAAAACTCTGTTTCAAAAAAAAGAAAGAAAAAAAAATGGACCCACAGGTGGGCAATTGCGTAGCTGCCCAGAAGTGCTGGGGGGCCCTGACCACAGACACAGTGAACTCCTGTCCCCTTTCCCGGAGGGGACCCTCCAGCCCTGTTTCATTCAGTGTCCTGGGCTGACTGGTGAGACGCAGGCAGGCTGGTTGTTCAGGGCTACTGCCCCAGCCCCTGGTTCTGGTGGAGGAAGCTAGAATAAGGATTTGCATTTCTTTACCCTTTGAAATAAAGGAAAGACTGACTCAAATAAAGTCACCAAGAGGACTTCTGAGCTGGAGGGCAGCAGGCAGCAGAGCGGGTGGCCAGACTGTACCTTGCACGAGTGTCCCCTCCTGGTCAATCTGGAACACTGTGCTTGCCAGCAGGGGCTGGAGCATGGGGGCCAGCGTGGAGACACCCACAGGAACCCTGGGGTCCTGCACGGTGAGCCTGAGCCTCACGGCCACGCTTCCCGCCTGGAGAGCCACGATCTGCATCCTCAGTTTCCCACTTCGGTACAAGTCAGACACCATCGGTGGGAAGGAGCTCTCGACCTAGCCAAGAAGAGGCAACAGGTATTCAGACAGGGCAGACATCCATGCACGTCTTCACAACTATTAAGCAGGGTTCCAGGCATGACTGATGGATGGCGCGTGGACCCGTTTGTCTCCTCTACAATCAACAGGAGGCGCCCAGCAACCGACCTCTCGGAGCAAGCAGAGAGCCTCCCGTTCACAGCACCTGAGCTGAGCTTTCCCTGGGACAGCCAGGCCTGGCCTGGTGTGTGCTGCAGACTCACAGTGACCACTGCAATCAAGCCCCCCGTCATGGAGCATCAGACGAACAATCCCCTCTTGAGTGTCCTGGAAACTGGTGCGAACGTCATATGTGTGGAGCCAGGTGCTCAGGACTACCCATGCCCAAGCACGGGAGATACCAGCCTGGTTCTCCACCTTTCCACCACCCCACAGTTGCACACACAATGAGTTAACATTAAAAAAGAGGGAATTATCTGAAAACATTCAAAACTGGATTCCCCTGCAGGCAAATGTTGGGAAGTGTCCTCTGTGGCTCTGCGGCATTTCTACACATCTTGCAAGTAGAAGCACTAAGTGCCCTTTTGTTCCAGAATATCTTTCCAAGGATGTTTGCATAGTGAATAGCCTTGGGAGGGAGAGATAGTGGCCCCCTCCTGAGCAAAGGGCAGGCTTGTTACTGTCCAATGTAACAGATAATTTCGACTTCCAGAGCAAGTGCCTGCACCCATTATAAAAGATTCAGGTTCCCTAGGATCAGGGTTCCTCAGCTCAGGTGCAGACCCACTTTGTGTGCTTCATTCCCCTGGGCCCCTGTGCATCACCTCTGTGGGACTCCGGTGCAGGAAATGGCATAAAAGCACATGCATGCTGCCTGCTGTGCTGTAATACAGTCTTTTGTCTCTGGCCCAGGAGTCTCATGTCTTCTGCCAGCATCCCTGAAACTGTGGCAGACTCACTTGTGAGTTTACAGGGAGGGTAAAACCTCAGACCTTATGTGATTCTTGGCAGCTTAGGAAGTCACTCTTCTCTCCAATGCCCCATCTGTGGATAGATGGTGCTTCATACTGGCTCGATTCTCCCTGGCTGTCTGCTGATGTCTCCCTTTAGCCACGAGGGAGGAATGGATGCTGTGATTGTCAGTAAATGCTTCGCTAATGAAGCTCCTACAGAGCTGGAAGACAGAGGCCTCAGACAGAAGCTTCCACAGAAAACCCAGCAGTAGGATTAAGTGGTGTAGATCATTTGAATAAAGGCACATATTTTAAAGATGGATGGCCCCAGTAACTGGATTAAGTACCAAATGAAAGCAGGGGGTAAGCTTTTGAGAAATTACTGTGCGATTTGCGTTTGGCCTCCCCTGAAGCTGAAATAACATGTATTTTTGCCACAATCCCAGAGGAAGAGCTGGGCAGGAATTAATGGCTTCTGTTTGATGGCCTCACTCAAAACACTCAAAATTGAGCTCAAAATCGAGCTCAAGAAAAGGTTTCTGTGTCTGCATTGTGGCTTTACCTCGTGAAGCAGTTGTCTAGAAAAGTCCTGGTACTCCACGCTGCTACGGTCACGTAACTGCTCCGTCAAGTTTCGGTTTACGATCTTTATTGTGACTTCAAATACCTGGGCTTCTGAGACAGACAGTGAAACAAATCAGCCTGTGGTCAAAAGTCGCAGTCTTTTCTGTTAATGTTTTCTGTGAAGCCTATTCTTTGGCGGGGAATTTTTTTTAATAGAGTGAGGCATGAATCTTAGATTGAGGTATCCTAATTGGGGGAAATAAATGTAAGAAACGAAAGAATGAACACACACTTTTATGTCCAGGGCAGAGGTATCCCAGGAAGGAGGTACAATCGTCACACACAGGCCATACCCACAGGACCTGGGATCCAACCAGCACACAGAGGGTCATTTCCCGTGGGGTGGCTGCAGCTTTCCTTTGCCCTGTTCTAAATCACAGGGCATAGCGGGTACTCACATGGGGCCCTTACTCAGGCCTCCAACGTCAGGGTGACCAACAGATTCCAACCTGCCTGGGGACATCCCAGAATTGAGCTCTGAAAGTCCCGCCTCTCAAGAACATGCTCTGTGACAGTCAAACTGGTAAGGTTGCTCACTTACAAGGGAGGTTGCCTTATTTTTGGACAGAAACAAAGATGGAAAAAAGGTTCAAGATGGGACATGGGAATATTCGTCTCATTACTAAGAGGAAACCTAGCATGTACAACCCAAGAGCCGGTGGGCACAGGAGGAGACTGGCCACAATTCTGCACACTTCTCCAGTTATCTAACCGCCACCCACAGCTGTGCCCCACCCTGGCTCTCTCCCAGCTGGCAAGCTATGGGCCATCAGAGTGTGTCACCTATGCACGCCACACTTAAGGCCGCAGAAATGCCATCAATGTTGTATGTTGTATATTTCCCAGTTAGGGCCCCTGTGGATCTCCTGTCTTAGCAAGAGGGAGGAGCACCCCTTGTGTCCTCTGATTCTCAGGCCCCGACAAATCGCAGAGCCCTGTGGACAGGCGGCCTCGTCCAGGGCCCTGGGGATTAGACTCCCTGGAGGCTCTGGGCATCAGCTGCCACTGTAACACCTGCTACCTCCGGCGTCACAGGCTCATGACAAGGAGAAATTAGACAAGGTGGAATTAGACAAAGGCTTTAAAGCAAATTGAGCTGCTTAAAAAAGGCTCTACAAAAAAAAAAAAAAAAAAAAAAAGGCATTTGTATAATATGGAAAAGGAAAGAAAAGGCTGGGATGTGGAATAGGTTGGTAATTCAAGAGTCTTCTAGAGTCTTCCAAATTATTTGTGCCTGATGTTGGAATGTAGGTTTTTTCCTGAGGGCACCGGGTTGGTGGGGTGGGGAGGGAGCTGCTCAAGTGATCCCTGAGTTTCCTCCTGGGGTCACTTGAGCCCAGGAGTTTGAGACCAGCCTGAGCAACCTGGCAAGACCCCATGTTTATGAAAAATTAAATAATTAGCCAGGCATGGTGGTGTGTGCCTGTGGTCCCACGTACAAGGGAGGCTGAGGTGGGAGGTCACTTGAGGGCAAGGGGTCGAGGCTGCAGTGAGCTGTGATCGCACCACTGCACTCCAGCCTGAGTGACAGAGCAAGATCTTGTCTCAAAAAGAAAAAAGTTTCCTCCCGGCACAAATATGGTGGGCACTGCATTCGCTCTACACACGTCACGTGGCAGCAAGGCGTGAAAACGACAGCAATGCCCCTCTCTCGGGCAGGGAACTCAGACGGCCTCAGCGCCGCAGGGTAAGCGTCACAGGGTCCTGATCTGCCTGCCAGGAGCTGCCACCTTCTGCTTCATTATTACAATTTTATTTCTTTGCTTCCCTCTAGCTGATGCCTTATTGGTGCTTCTGAGTCCACATGCCGTCCCCTCTCATGGCAGAGTGAGCCCTGAACAGGACGAGATGTAGGGAAGCAAGGGAGCCCAGGAAGGTACCAGCGGGCCAGTGCCATGCAGGGCAGACTGTGGGACAGCTCGGAGGGGATGGAGGAAATGCGGGGACATCCGTGACTACTGGTGCCCTGGTTATAGGAAAACGACACAGGACTGGGATAGAGGAGGGCAAGCTTGCGAGCTAACGTGGGTCTCTGGCTGGTGGACTTACCAGTCTTGACGGTCAGCGTGGTGGAGATGTCTGCCCCACACCCCTGGTAGCCGGTCTTTACCCTGTAGAGCACTCCAGCCTCCAGCCCAGACACCGCCAGTGCCAGGCCCCGTGTCCTGGCGCTCCTGAGCAATGCCTCACCCCGGTAAACCCGGACATAGAAAGTATGGTTCTGCGTAGAATTCAAACGCCAGGATACTTGAAAACTGCCACCGGTGACGTTGAGGATCATGTAGTCACTGAGTGTAGGGCAATCTGTGAACACAGAAAGAGAAGACGAGCATAGGGTCAGCGAGGGCGGCTTTATCTTCCGAAGCAAGTGGCGCAGCCTCGTCTCAGCTTGGTTCCCATCGATCTATTGATCAAGTTGACCCATGCAGGACAGGACTTGCTTTTTTTTTTAAACCAATTATAAATGAAACCCATTCATTCAAAACAGAGGCATCGATCTTCTCTCTCTCCAGGCTTCTGAGTAATTTTGGAAGGCAGTTCAGGATTGCGCTAGGCGACGGGGATATCTGAGATGAAATGGAGAAGCAAGAGGCCTGAAGCTGACAGCGCAGCCCCTCTATCACTGAGCCACGTAAGAGGGTGGGGTCATCCAGGTGTGCCTCGGTCTACACCAGGAATAGCATTGAGTCGTGGGGCTCTTTGAGGTCCAGAATCTGTGGTTACTACAAAGTCAGAATGCTCTCTCGGGACCCATCAGCAGTCATTGTACAGAAAACATTTCAGCAATGGCCCCGACAGTGTAAGGTTTTGCTGCCACATCTGCAAATACTCCCTTGCCAGCCTGTCCCAGGGTGCCGGGCCACTCTGATTCACGACAAGCACTTGATCATTTGCACAAGAACTTCTGCACGGGGCTGACTCGTCACGCAGTAAACAATGGCCCCATCAGGAAGCAGGACTCGGAAATAGGGCTGAGTTTCCTTTACCGCCCTTTTTATGCGTTCCTATTGAAATCCATGCCTTAGGGAGCAAAGCTCTGATGTACCAACCTATATATATTCTAGTGCTCAAATAGCACTGAAGCTCTTTTTTGGTCAAAAAAATTCTGGCTGTACAGCAAGTATCTGGGCAGTAAGGATTATATAAAAACTAGATGGCCCCCAGGCTAGCCACCAATATTTTCACGTCGGAAGGTAGGTTCTATAAAAACAAGCAATGAGAAACTTTTAAAAATGTAGTTTGCAAAACCATGGTAAAGAAAATAATAGTTTTATAATGTGTGGCTTCCCAAAGCCTTTTATGTAAGGATTGATAGGATATATGCTTTCCATTATCATGAAAAAAGTCTGTTTTTAGACACATGTATCTGCTTTATCTCAATAATAAATTTAAAAAAAGAGAAAACCAACACAATCCAACTCATTTCCCTTTGTGCCTTGGCTGTCAAGAGGCTCAGAATCCAATGTAGTGCCCAGTCACCACCAGGCGAGATAGCCCTGCTGTCTCCTCCTTCCAACCCGAGACTAAGCTGCCTCTTTTGACTCTCGGTCCCTGTGAAGGTGAGCTTTTCCAATGAAAACCCTGCCACTCCACCTCCCAGTAGATGGGCATCTATTACTGGAATCTGGACAGGCTTCACTCGGACAGGGTTAGTGACATCCATCATCTGATGTGTCCTAATAACACTTTTAGGGTGTGGGGTAGAACACAGTTTTTAAAAGACACATCTACACTTTTTGCAGGATTGTCCAGTGACTTTATGCATACTGAGCAGAGAAACAGACATGGATGCTGGTTCATACTTTATGGTATTTTCTTTTGTGGCAAGAAAAGCAGAAATGCTTCAACTGAGGGTGGCCGAAAGCTTGGGACCTGAGATTGTGGGTGGCACCCCCATCTCCAGGGTCACAGGAACCCTGGAACCAAAAAGACCCCCCACTGCCTGGCCTTCTGACAACCACTCAGCTTTTTAAAGTCTGTTTCTTGGGAACATATGTCTCACTGAGAAAGGAAGGAAGAGCTACAATTGCTTTTCCAAAAAGTCTGCTAAAAGCACTGACGGTTCTATTTTTGTACAGTCAGGACACAGCCCGAAGCATTTTTTTATCCACGTCGGTGGAGGATGGGGTGACAGTGAAACGCCCTGCAGATAGGAAAGTGGGTCAAAGCAAGCAGGCCCAGCAGCTTGAACAGCAGCCCCAGCCCACACCCAGGGCTCCAGCCCAGCCTCCTCATTGCCACCATCTCAAACTTGACATGGAGCGAGAGAGCACATGGGTGGGACAACAGATGGCCCACCCAGATTACTGGCCACTTAAAAGCACACTCTATAAGGAGTGCTTCTGAGCAGAGTGGAGTTAAAATTAAAACGGCGTCTGTCTGAATTTGAAACGAACGCAGAGGAATGGTATTTGGAAAGAAGGCTCAGAGGGCACAGGGCTGGCAATGCATACTTTACCTCTTTTAACAAACATATTTACTCTTTAAATTAAGATACCAGTTGCTTTTTGGAACACTGGATGGGGGACTTGCAAACCTGGAGTTTCAAACGCCGTGAAACCCTCCGAGGCATCTGCGGAAGCTGCCATCATTGAATTCTGCAGCTAAGAGAGATGGCGAGCATTTGGAGAAAGAGAATCTCATCTAATCCAAAGGAGTGCACTCTCCCTGAGGTCGACGTTCCCATCCGACATCTGTGTGGCCCTTTCTCCAGTCTGTTACTTTGAGGCATTTGGCATTGTCCATATTTGACCATGTTTGACCAATGAGGGCACCAATTTCTTATGGCTCATTTTTTTTTTTTTTTTTGAGCATCTGCTATGCACCCAGCATCGCCATAAGCACTGAGAAAACAATGATGAGTTAACGCTGCAGTGTCCAAGCCAGCACAGCCTGCATTAACAGCCACGGTAGGAACTTGCAGGGAGCTATGAATTAACTCCCCGGCATGAGCCCCCTGCAGCACTCCCTCCCATGACATCCATGTCACAAACCAGCCAAGCTGTTGGTGACATGGTTACAGGTGAAGTTTCCTGGGTGCTGTGTGCACCAGGCGTGGTGTCCTCTGCAGTCCTTAGAGCAATCCCAGGTAATAGGATCTAGGATCCCCATTATACAGAGGACAAAACTGAGGCCTAGAAAGGTCAAGTAGGTGGTAAATGGCAAAGCTGAACAATAGCAAATGGCAGAGTCCACTTGATCTATGACTAAGCTATCCTATCACAGTAGTAGGCTGAATCATGGCCTTCAAAGATACCAGGTCCTAATCCCTGCAACCTAAGAATATGACCTTATTTGGAAAAGGAATCTTTGCAGATGTGATTCAGTGAAGTATCTTCAGATGGAAAGATTATCCTGGATTTCCCAGGTCCATCCTAAATGCAATCACAAGTGTCTTTATAAGAGAGAATCAGGGAGATTTACACACACACACACTCAGGCGATATGAAGCTGGAGTGGAGAGGTGGAGAGAGAACAGAGACGTTCACTTTGAAGATGAAGTGGGGCTGAGCATGGTGGCTCACGACTAATCCTAGCACTTTGGGAGGCCAACGTGGGTGGATGGCTTGAGCCCAGGAGTTCAAAACCAGCCTGGGCAATATAGTGAGACCCCATCTTTACAAAAAATCCAAAAATTAGCCGGATATGGTGATGTGTGTCTGTAGTCCCAGCTACGTGGGGGGCTGAGGTAGGAGGATCAATTGACCTGGGAGATGGAGGCTGCAGTAAGCCAAAATTGTGCCACTGCACTTCAGCCTGAGTGACAGGGCAAGACCCTTTCAACAACAACAAAAAAGCCAACAAGAAGAAGGAGTGATGCAGCCACAAGCCAAGGAATGCTGGCAACCACCAGAGGGCAGAGGGGCAAGGAATGAATTCTCCTAGAGCCTCCGGGCGCACAGCCCTGCTGGCATCCAGATTTGGGCCCAGTGGTAACTATCTCAAATTTCTGGCCTTCGGAACTGTGAAAGGATACATTTCTCTTATTTGAAGCCACCTAGTTCAGGGGTCTCTGTTAGGAAAACGCAGGAAATTTATGTATCTCCCAACCCTTCTTCTTTAATTAACTTTCAAGGCAGCCGTTCCTGTGGCTGGACAGCACAGCGTGGAGAGTTTTCTTTTCTTTTTTTTTTTTTTGAGACGAAGTCTTGTTCTGTTGCCAGGCTGGAGTGCAGTGGCATGATCTCAGCTCACTGCAACCTCTGCCTCCTGGGTTCAAGCGATTCTTCTGCCTCAACCTCCAGAGTAGCTGGGATTACAGATACCTGCCACCACAACTGGCTAATTTTTGTATGTTTAGTAGAGATGGGGTTTCACCATCTTGGCCAGACTGGTCTTGAACTCCTGACCTCGTGATCCACCCGCCTCAGCCTCCCAAAGTGCTGGGATTATAGATGTGAGCCACTGTGCCTGGCCAGAGAGTTTTCTTTGTATTGCAAAACCAACCAACTTCTAACATGCTAAGGTCAATCTCTTTTTTGTTGGACAGACCTTGGGGTGTTTTAAAACTAGAAATCATCCTTCTACACCTGACTCCTCCCTTCCAGGGTAGGCCCCTATAACTTGGTTTTTGCTTTTTTATTAGCCAGGACACCCTCCTTTGGTTACCCTTAAATGGGGACCCTTTTCAGTGTCCCCCTTAAAATGCGGCCCTAGAAAGTGCTGCTCTTGACTCCGTGTTTGCGTGACCCAAGGGCACGGCAATGTGGATAATCCAAACTCCAGGCTCCAGTGCTCCTGCTCCACAGCCCTCCCCTCCACAGGTAGGAACACAAGTCCAGCACTTTGCCTCTTTCTGGGTAAAACACCCTGAATTCTCCACGTCTGACAGTCTGGGCCCTTGTTTCTTCCAGGCAGCTGTGACTCATCTCTGGTTCAGCAGGGAAGGTGCTGGAGATGCTGTTTCCCTTAGCAATATGCAACTAGAATTCACTCTAGATTGTGGACCTGGAAACACTGGATGAGTGTGTCCTGCCCTATCAAAAGTGAAGCCAGGACCTCCCGTTTGTGTGTGGCAGTCGATCGAGCAGCCCTGTGTCCTGATGTAATCTGGCTCACCGTGCCGAGCAACACAGCAGAGTGTGACTGCCAACCATGAATAGAATCTAATATTTTTCCAGATGACTGACCAGGGTAAAAATGACTATTTGGAAACTACCTGTTTTCCAATCTTCTGTGCTCACAGAAGGGATGGGACTCTCACCCTGGAAGCCATGGAGTAGAAATCTATAGACGGTTCTTTGCAAAGCTTAGTGTGTGGTTGTGTGTGGAGGGGGGACGCAGGTCTAAGTGGATCTCAAGGCCACGTACTACAGGGCAGTGGAGTGTTCTGAGTGTTTTGCTGCCAGATCTGTACTGGAACTTGCCTTTTCTCTTTTTTTTGTAATACCTGGAGACCCTGGGGTTGGCCACAGTGTTCCAGGAAACGTTTGCGGAGTGCCTGCTCTTTGTGGGGCACCAGGGATTCATCGGCCGGCGGGCAGAAGGCGAGGCAGCTCTCCCCACACAGACTCATTCTGACAGGAAGGGAACATTCCTGGTTGGGGGGAGGCAGGAAGATCTGACCCTGGAGCCCTCCACATCCACAGCTGGCTCTGGGAACTGGTCCACTCCCTCCGCCCCTTGCCCGCAGGACACTGAGAAGAGCCAGGCAATCAGAACCTTAGGCTGGACACAAGGGCTCCTGCCTGCAGTCCCAGGGCTTTGGGAAGCCGAGGAGGGAGGATCTCTTGAGCTTGAGAGCTTGAGACCAGCCTGGCTACACAGTGGGACCTCATCTCTATTAAAAAAAATAAAAAAGAGCCATCTGTGGTGGTGCATGCCTATGGTCCCAGCTGCTCCAGAGGCTGAGGTGGGAGCCTGGGAGCTGAAGGCTGCAGTGACTGGTGATCATGCCACTGCACTCCAGCCTAGGCAGCAGAGTTAGACCCCATCTCTACTAAATAACTAGCTAACTAACTAAATAAATAAATAAATAAATAAAAATCAGAACCTGATACTCCTTTTTTAAGTAAGGTTCTGGAACACCAAAGAAAATAATTTAATTTTTCTAGAACTGTATCCAACTCTTGGTCCTAAGCACTCATGAAGGTAGGAAAGGGCATGGTGGTTTCCCTGGGTGCACCGCGACAAGGGCAGTCCTGGAAGATGGGGAGAGGCCATCACAGTCCCAGGCAGGCCCCTGCCAGAGGGCTCCTACTGAAGACAGTCTCGGGACAGGGGCGGCCGGGAGTTGTGAACAGCCTGGCTCATGTGTATCTGCAGAGAACCAGTTTTGGGATCTCATGCAAGAAAAGGATCTTCCTCTGCCTCAATTTCCCCTTCTGAAAAATGAGCTTAAGAAGAGTAGTTGCCCCTTGGGGTTACTGTAAGAATTTAAACAGGGCAATAACCACAGAGGGCTGAGAGCAGAGCCCAGTGCGGGTGAAGTCCCTGGTAGCTGCCAGCTCCGCTGTTATTGTGAACAAAGGACTGTCCTCACTGCCAGGTCCCTTTTAAGGAAAAAGAACCTGCAGATTAAATGAGTAATGAATACAAATTGGGTATAAGGAGATTCTCCATAACTCCTGTCGCGACATTACAGTTCAGACCCTTGGAAGCAACAGAAGTGCTCCCGTGATGGACTCTGAGCAATATATATGATTGCCCTAAAAGACCACTAGTTTTCAAGCACCAATAATTATCCTGGTGAAGACCAAGTTTCTTTTTGGAAACTTTGTACACACTACAGGAAATAAAGAAAGTAGCTTACAAAATTACACATGTAGCAAGATTTAAACAAGGTTAAAAATAAAAGCCTGCGTTCAGTAAGGTCAAAACCTGGAAAGGAACAGGGAATAGAAAGAGCCCGGGCTCTGGGAGATGTGGAATCAGCATCGCCTGTCTCTTGAGAGGCCCCCGGGAGTCCACAGCCTCCTCCACATCAGGCCTTCCTTCCCTCAGCCTCTTCGGTCAAGCTTCCCTGCAGAGTTCCGGCGGTTCGCCTTCTTTCTCTCCTCCCGCTGTCTTCCTAACCAGGGCTGACTGCTGGCTTCTTCCCGACTGCTCTCCTTAAGTTCGCCCCATCCCCAAAGTTCCCGTGGGCGCTTTCCTGCCCGGCGGTTGCCCGTGCGTGTACCCTCCCTGCTTGCTGTCCAGTTTACCGCTTGCCCTTGCTCTCTTGGGGCTTGCTGAGCCTTCCCAGATGCCCTTCCTGCTGTTTTCCCACCTTGCCCACGTCCTCCGCAGCCTCTCTTCCTGCACTGACCTGGCACGGATGGGGTTCTCCGGCCACAGGCCCCAGGCCTCTTCCCTTCTCTCAGCCATACCATGGTTTAAGTGTCACCTGGAGGCAGGTGACCCTGGACTCAGGAATGCAGCTGGCCCCGCCTCTGAGCTCCAGCACCACGAGTCCAACTCAGTCAGCACCCTGGCACCTCCACTCATTCCGTCTCAGCTGTGACACTATAGACAATAACAACAGCTGGCGTCTTCCCCGTCCCCTCCAATGGAAACACCCTCTACTCCCTTGTTCAGTCAAGACATCTGGACTCCGTCTTCTTTCCTTTTTCCTCTTCTTCACTGAATTCATCGGGAAGTTCCCGGGGCTCTGTCTCTAAAATGTTGCCTGAACCCCCTTCTCCACCACCTTCTACACCCTAGACTCCTGCACTCAGTGTATCGTCTTTACAGCACCTCCTATGTTACAGACTACACCGTTACTTCTCATTCCAAGCCGCCTGATGGCAGAGCCAATCCTGCCTGCCAGTCCTGGTTGGTACACCCCTCCCCACTGCAGCAGGGACAGAGCCAGGCACGTTCTTCCACGTGCTTCCCCCTGCACCTAGCAGACTCTTCTGCTCTCCGGGCTGACCTGCTTATTCCCGAGGTTCCAGTGCAGACATCGGTCATGCCCTTTCATATGCCAAAATGTCTCTATTTCTACAGTCCACTAGACAGGCAGAGATTAGGACCTGCTGAGGCATGCTTCCATTACCAGCACTTAGCACAGTGAATTGCAGCTAAATAAACATGTCCTAAGCCAAAGAATGAATGCAAGAGTGGCCCACCAGGACATCAATAACAGTTGAAAGAACTAAGTATATTCTGTGCCTGTGAGCCAGCCATTCCTTCCCGGCAAGAAGAGTCTCTGTGGTCTAAGGACCAATCAGCCTTTTAAAAATGTTTTCACCCTTTTCCCATTTAGAAAAAAAATAGTGCAACTCACTGCCAGCACTCATTTAATCTTCTGTTAACATGCTCTTTAAGGTTGAAAATCTGATTTTCAATATGAAAATAAAATATAAAAACTGTTCTTGGAATTATTTCTAAACAGACCTAACAACAGCATTACCTGAATCATCAGAATCATCTATTTCAGAGAAACCGGGTTCAGCAAATGAATCGCTGGCCAGCAACTTGCTCGAGAGCAATGTGAGCATCACACGGAGGAATGCTGTTTTCTAGGATTTGACATTTTCAGCGATCGAGAATCTCTACATTTTGTAAATGGAAATGCCACTACTAAAAACAGAATCCTATAAATAGAATGATGTCTTTTGTTTCCAAAGTCAATATACCAGTTTAATGCGAAAACACAAGATACTTCATGGCAAAGTTATCTCGGGTAAGTGCGGCAGCCACAAGCCCTGCCAGGGAGTATTCCAGGGCAAACAGGAATTAAGCCATTCCCACACCATCCGAGAGAGCCCAGCCGTTACCTTCACACTCGGGGTTCAGCTTCCGGGGAGACATGGCTGGAGCTTCCTGGTGACAGATGCACCGGTACGAGCCCTCCAGGTTTGTGCACAGTTCCCTTCCAGAACAGGCGTTGAGCTCGTCATGGAAACACTCATTGACATCTATGGGGAAGGAGAGCAGGACCTGCACTCAGCAGCTGCAGCCACTTCATTCTCCTCATCCACCCGCACACGTGTGGCCTCCGTGGACTCACACCATGGATCTGTGCCACGTGACCTGAGGGGTCCCTTGGGCAGCGGTCCTGAGGGGGACTATGGAAGCCTTGTCTTGGAGGGCCCCGTGCATCTGCTGGCCATCTTCATCCTAGCGGAGGCCCACATTCAGGCAGGGCTCGCGGATGGCTCACCAGGCAGCCTCCTGGGAGCAAATCACTTGGGGCTGGACTGAGTGTGAGTGGTCATGTAAAGATGGGGCCAAAACATCCCATCCCAAGCAGAAAGCAAAGGAATGGGTGTTTCCTGCACCAACAAGGAAACCCAGAGCCGCCCCTGATGTTCTGAAGCTGGCCCAGGCCTCCCAGACAGAGCCATCTCACAGCAACCAGCCTCCGACATGGCGTCTTTATAATGCTGTCTAAGCACAGACAGGGACAAGCTCATGGGGCACCCATGAAATACCAATGCCCCTCTCTTGGCCAAAATAAGTGATGATGAGCTCTTCACAAATTACAGCTTATCGTCATGCAATGCTTCCCGTCCTTTTGCTAAGATGTATTGAGATTCCCAATCATGGAGTTGCCTCCACTTTCTGACAGCATTCAATCTAGAGCAAAATCACACTTCCCAAGACCCTCCCCAAACCACCCAGTCAAAACCCACATCCTAGAACAGGCTCTTTCCAGCAGTCTCTTGCTGAGAGACTCACTGGTTCTCCACAGCGCAGGTTCTCCCTCGTGGCCTCAAATAATAAACTCAACTGGTCCACCCACAGGTGTGCTCCTGCAGCCTCTGGCTCAAGGACATTGACTGGGCAGACGACGGAGCGAACGCTTTGCTTAATGGCACAAAAGCAATGCGGCTTGGTTTTGAGGAACATGCGTGGATGGGAAGGGAGATCAATGCAAATGCTCCAGCTTTGACACGGCTCTGGGCCCCGGTGTCATCACTCGCTTCCTCAGTGTCATAGAAGAGGCTTCACCAAGGCAGCCACCCTCCCGCAAAGCCCTGGGAGCAGCAGACTGGCCTGGCTGCCTCCTGCTTGGGGACAGGAAGGTGTATGGGAGCCTGGCAGTTTGCTTGGGGACTGTCTGTGGCTGCTACAGCAGCAGGGCTGAGTCATTGAGATGACAGAGACCACATGGGCCCACAAAGCCAAAAATATGCACTGTCTGGTCCCTTTTAGATGAGGTTTCCCAATTCCTAACATAGAACAGCAACTACAAAGAACAGGTAATTTCTTCCAGAAACAAGGCCACGTCTATGTGCTTTACCAGGTACAAATTCAACTTCATACAAATTCTGCTGAAGGAGGCTTTGGGGTACAAGGATGTCCTTGGCAAGCGTGGGAAAGAGGCGAGAGGGAAGTTTAGGAAACCAGAGAACTGAAGAAACACGTTCTTCGTATGTGGCTCTGGGATTTGCACTCCAATGCCCCCTGGGATGGACGGAGAGGGCTTCCCAGGGGGAAGGTGGCCAGCGGGAGCCGAGGAGAGATGGAGGGAAGGAGGGAAGGGTAGGAAATGCGGGCTGAAACACGTCCTCGAGGTCTGTACTTGGGGACTTGGAGTTTACAGGGTGAGCTGAAGGTGGGTCCCACGCCTGTGGGGTGAACACACTTGAACCAGTTACTCTTTCACTCCTGAACTTAAACCTCCTTTAAAAGACAAAGCACTGGCCTGGCCTTAGCAGCAACCTTGCATTTGGCTGTTCAGGCACCACCTTGCAGCCTCCCCAGAGGGAGGGTCGAGGGAAGCCCAACCTTGCACCTGGACGCTGACCACTTCATAGACACGCTTTGCGATGTCGCCCAGCAGGCCGGAGACGTCAGCCACGGGCAATGGCCAAGGCAGGCCCAGCAGCAGCTGCGACACCGTGGTGGAGGCGTCCCCAGGGGCCGAGTGCAGGTGGTGGACAGTGGAGGCCAATGGCTGCAGGGCACTGGTGACCTGTGAAGTCAGAATCAAAGCGTCACACAGCAGAAGGACACCCCGTCAGACAGACAAGGAGACTGAGGCCACAGAGCTGAAATGAACTGTATACACACACACACCATTCCACTCCTCAGAAAAGAACCTGTACAGTACTTACACATCTGTCACTCCAGTAAAAGTCCTGCAAACCATAACTGCCAGTACCTTTCAGCACCAGTTGTTACGGGCAGAATTCCATCCCTTAAAATCCGTATGTTATCCCAGCACTTCGGGAGGCCGAGGAGGGCTAATCATGAGGTCAAGAGATCGAGACCATCCAGACCAACGTAATGAAACCCCATCTCTACTAAAAATACAAAAATTAGCTGGGTGTGGTGGCACCTGTAGTCCCAGCTACTCAGGAGGCTGAGACAGGAGAATCACTTGAACCTTGGAGGCAGAGGTTGCAGTGAGCTGAGATTGCGTCACTGCACTCTAGCCTGGTGACAGAGTGAGAC